AAAAAAAAAAAAAATTTATATTGTGTAATGATCTATTTTTTATTGCCATTATGTATTTTCATATTCATCTTAAGGAAATCTTGAATATATCAAAACTGTTGTCTAACGGACATGATTATAATTAGTTTTCATGATTAAAAAGGATGCCAGTGCTGGTGGGGGTCTGTAACAAGCACCGGCCTGATCCCATTTCTCTTCTGATTTTCTTTTACCCACCTGAAGAGGTCTCCGAATTTACTTCTGAGGTGGCTACATGAGACATAGAGATCATAGAGGTAGGCTAGGATGCATCTTTCAGGAGAGGAACATTCTGAGGGGTTGACGACGTGCTTTACCACACCACATAACCTGGGGGGGAAACACACGAAGAAATGAGACAGGAGTTTGGATAAGACGGATGCTACCATTTGATTCTTTCAGAATGAGGACATGTCCACGAATAAAAGCTATCAGATTACTGAAACTATCTTTACAGCAAATAGGGAATAATTAAATACAATACTAGATATCAGAAATACTAGATATTAGAAAAATTCTTGAGAATTGTCATTGATAATAAGAACCAAAACCAATGGAGGAAATTCCTCCTCATAAAAGGAGGGTATAGAGGAATTCGTCTATTAAGTTGCTATGACAAAGACAAAAAAAGAAAGTTGTAGCAGAGAATCTCTCTCAGTAGAAACATTCAAAAATTCAGTCAGTTGGGCAGGATTCCAACTTTACTCCTTTGTAAAGGAGCAAGTCTTCAAATTGGTAAATCTGGGACATCCATTTTCAAGAGTATGAGTTATTTCTGGCATGGACTTGATGAATTCATGATTTGGAGTCACGTTCCCCTTGTTCAGTAAACAAGAAATACATTTTTCTTATTTTACATAAGAAGATATAGACCCTTCTGTTTAGCAGCATTCTCTATAAGTCCTTTAATTCAGAAGTACCATTATTAATCCAGTTCTGTGCGATTATTTTTCACCAATCAGAACTGTAGGCTTCTTCCTACATATGAACTTCTAGAGTTCATATGACACACAAGTCCATGCAGCACAGAAATAAACGCTAGTGGTCCATCCACCCATCTGTGAGTCTGATTCTGCTACCATCTTAAGCATTGCTACAAGATTCAGCTATAACACTACACCTAATAGCATCACGGGTGGCTCAGATGAAAGCTGAAAAGGGCTTCGGAAATCATCTGGTTCACCTTCCTCACTGCACAAAGAGGTTCTGAGGTGCAGAAAGATGAAGTGACTTGCTCAAAGGCAAAGAGCCAGCTCACAGCAGAAGTTAAGAGCAGAACTCAGGGCTTCGGAATCCCAGACCAGACCTCTCTCCACTATTCAGGGAAAAGCAGGAGACCTTAGGAGGTACCAGCCAAGTTTCTTAGGAATCCCTCATACAGCAATCAATACTTCCTCAACTTCTTTGATGTGTCAGAAACAAGGAAAACATGAAACATGGGAACCAGTATAATTATCCACATAAGTACAATAATAGTAATGAGAAAAAGGACTTATGACATAAAGTAAATGCTAAAAAGTCGGAGGCTGGGCAGGGTGGGTCACACCTGTAAGCCTCGAACTCTGGAAGGCCAAGGTGAATGGACTGCGTGAGGTGAGGACTTCAAGGCCACCCTGGGCAAGAAACAGAACCTATCTCTACTAACAAAAGAAAAAACTAGGCAAGTTTTGTGGTGGCCCCATCTGGTGGCCTGTAGTCCCAGTTCCTTGAAAGGCTGAAGCAAGAGGATCACTTGAGCCCAGGAGTGTAAGGTTGCTGTGAGCTAGGATGATGCCAGGACACTCTAACCTGGGCAACAGAGTAGGTGAGACTATGTCTTTAAAAAAAAAAAAAGAAAAGAAAAAAAGACGGTAAGATACAGATTCAGTCGCATGAATAAGGTCCAAGGTAAGATACAGATTAGGTAGCATGAATGAGGTCTGTTCTGTCCAAGGTAGAAAGATAAAAATCTGTGAGATTTTAGGTAGGTGGGATTGGGTACATAACTTCAGCAATCACTACATATAACAAGCCCAAGTCTCAGTTTTTGGACCTAAAGAATGACACCAAAAATTAAAAGGTAAAGGTTACTAATTAATTTTGTATTTTCTTAATCCTCGGATCAGTATCTTCTTATTCTTGTAAGGTTTGGGCCTGTGTCAGACTTCACTATCAGATTTTACTCCTAATGTACATTGCCTTTACTTCCTAATGAAGCACTCCCTTTTCCTCCAGAAGAGCTTCTGGTAACCTGACCCCACTCAAGAATAAAGTATAAACTGATTGCATATGCTAGATTGTTTCTTTTTTAAAGGTACATGAAACCAAAGAACCCAATGATTCTTTTGAGCACAGGAGGAAAAATGGAGGAAGATGAAAAAATAGGCTGTCCTTTTTTAAGAACTTCACAAGAAAGTGGGGAGGGGACAAAAAGCAGTTTAAGTAGGTTTTCGAGAGCTTCTTGGACTGCTCTGGCCCCCTTAATCTTAGTCTCTAATGGGGGCTGTTTGGTAATTCCTTAGTCCAGCTTCACTAGTGCTAAAACGGAAAAGACTAAGAATGAAGAAAGTCATTTGTTTTAGGGTAACTCTAAATAGACAAATGAAACTGAAGACCAAAATGTCTAAGATGCAAAGCTTATGTGGTGTCAGAGTCTCTGAATATAACTGAAATCATATGAACGAAGAATTCACAAGTGTTCACTGTTGCTAAGCCATGATGCTGGATACTCTCAGAAATGAGGGGGAGGGAAGGCAGGGAAGAAGGGAGGAAGAAATTATACCTCATTAAAAAGAACATACCCAACATGCCTGAATCTCCAAATACTCTTTAACTATGTTTTTATTGAGACAAACTATTTTTATCTTAAAACTATCATAATGTTTCATCACAGTTGGGAAACCAAACATCTGTATACCAACCCTTCAAACACCTGGGCTGTCTGATCAGGATTCAGGATTAGACAACTGTGATACCGCCTGAGAACAGCCACGATGCAGACACACAGTCCCGTTGTGTAACTTCCTGCCAGGCTGGAGGATTTTAGGAGCAGTTCAGCTTCCACAACGCTCAGTTCATTTAGCAACTATGATAAGAAAAAAGATTGCATAAAAATGTAGGTGCTAAACGGGACAGGAAAGATATTTAATAAACCATGAATATACTGAGCCATCTTAATATAACTTTAGAAAACACACCCCAATTAATTGGTTTTTTTTTTTTTAATTTTTACTCCTATTCTAATTTACAGACTTCTTGTTCTGTCTAGACACCAGGATACATATAATCAGGAAGTACTCGGTACGGAAATAAGTTACTGAAACTTTATGGCAGTACACATTTCTGGACTGGATAATTTTAGAGAACAGCCTCACTCCTCACTTCTTCCTCCCTTTTCCCCTTCTAAAAAGAAGTTATTTGGTCATTATTTTCTTTTTATTAGCAGTTAACACCTCCTATGGAATAAGCAATGGAAACTAAGTCATCTTTCTATTTGTTAATACCAGGAGATAATGAATGAATTAAAATACAATGTAAAAATATAGTGAGATAAGTGGCCAGCCGTGGTGGCTCACACCTGTAATCTCAGCACGCTGGAAGGCCAAGGTGGGAAGATTGCTGGAGCTCAGAAATTTTCAGTAATTCAAGACCAGCCTGAGCAAGAACCAGACCCCTCTCTACTAAAAACAGAAAAACTATCCAGGTGTTGTGGTGGGGCCTACAGTCCCAGCTACCTGGGAGGCTAAGGCAAGGAGATTGCTCAACCCCGAGAGTTTGAGGATGCTGTGAGCAATGACGCCATGACACTCTACTCAGAACAATAGAGTGAGATTCCATCTCAAAAAAAAGGACTCTACTGAGATAAATCAAATTACAAAAGTTTCTCTTTCTTTTAATCTAAAATATACTCTGTTACAGAAAGGAAATAAACTTTCATCTTTCCTTAAGTAAAAGAATAAAAGACCAAAAAATCATCGAAACCTCTAACATTTTAAAACAATATGTATTTTAGCATTAGTTGTAATTACGTAACAGAGAACTATAAACACAGCTACAATTAAACTGCTAGTTGTCCAGCGTTCGTTCAGAATGTCTGAGTTATGCGAACAAGGTGCTGTGTCCTTAAGACAGTGTTAATGCACAACACCTGGGTGACTGAAAACTGCAAGATGCCTGGTAGGTTTGCTTTCCTAAACATAAGAGAAATATGGCCGTTTTGACACCTGTATAGCAAAGTCGATTAGTCCATTGATGTTCAGTGCTGGCTCCATGAGATCAAAGATGAGCTGAATGTGGTGAGCCAGAGGGAGATGATAGGACGTCCCTGAGGCAAAGCTTGTGATTTGTTCCAGCACGTTGTTAGAGATCTGTGCAAATAATGGTGAAAATAATCATAACATCAATATTCCAAACAACCTTTTACTTTGGTAAATGATTCTAATTTCATAAGTGAACCATCTGAATTTATGTTAATTCTATTTAGATGAAAGTTAAAACACACTACTACAGAAACCAAGAAAATATACTAATCAAGTAAGTTTCTTACAACAACTATAACTTGAAGAAATATCACAACTTGTCATTAAAGGTCTTGACTGTCCTACTGGTTTGAAGTTGAAGAATGGCTACAAATGTTACTTTGAGAATGTCTATTTGAATATCAATGGATTTATAAAGAAAAACGTATTTGGTTAATTTTCAGTTGTATAATATTTAACTTCAGTCGTCAACAGATTTCTCCCTTATCAATAGCAATGCAGGACCAAAAACTGATGACTTAAGTATTGCATTGGGGATTATCTTATATAGTACCATCATTATAAGGCAAAACTATTTACATGATAAATCACTTAAAAATGAACTGCCCAACAGTAAATAAATAAGTAATAAATAAGATGTATTTATTAAACCAACTGAGGCTTAAAACATATAGCATGAAAGAAACCCTTAATAGGATTATTCCAAATGCATAATAAATCAGCTTTAAATGACTACCTGAGAGGTGACTTGATGCTGATCAAAATACGAAAGGAGCTGGAGTTTTGTGAACACAGTCTCCAAGGTTGGAAATGCCTCTTGCTTGTTTTTCCTAGATTTTTGTCCATCATCCCCACCTAAGGAAAATATAAAGTAGATAAGTTATTTACCATGTCATAGGAGCTCTGGACTTTTTTAATGCATACCTTTTACTGAGGATTAACACACATACAGAAAGTGCACAAATGCTTTGACTTTCTAGAAAATAAATGCACCCAGGTAACGAGACCCAAATCACGAAATAACATTCCAGAAACCCTGCCAGTCTCCCTAGTGACTTCTCCCTCCCTAAGGGACTGAGGTCCTGACTTCTAACGTGTGGAATTACTACTGCCCACTTTGTAATTTTACATAGATTGAGTTATACATTAGATGATTTTCACTTCTGGCATCATTCACTCGGTATCATGCTTCCAAGATTGATTCCTACTGTTGAAATAATGTTAATGTGTTCTAAAATTTAATCCTCACTGTGCACAGTATTCCAACGTGTGACTATACTGCCATTTATTCATTCTAGTGAATGGGTGCTAAATTTTAGCTAATGTGCCTTTGTGAACATTCCTAACTAAATGACTTCTAAATTAAGACGATATGCACAATGAAGGCAGGGAGAGACCCAATCAGCCTCAGTTCACATAATTGGCACCTTTTTGGGGGACTCACCTTGATATTCACTGAAACGGTTTAATACGTTACGCCCCCCTTAAAAAATACTGACATGATTCTTAACTTTAAGGGCAACAAGAAATTAATTCACTCCACTTTATATGGGAAAGTGCTACATTTGTCAATTCGGCATTAAGAAACTTGAAGAAAATTTCACTTAAACATTGCTTATTACATTGCTTATTCCTCATGGACTCTTGTTTTAATAGTTTTTTTTTCCTTCAATAAAATCCAAAAAGAGATTCAAAGCTCTTTTTAAACATTTTTAATATATGTAATTACAAAGATAAATCTAAAAACAAAGAAAGCTGGACTATATATGATCTCTAAAGTCATTTCTAACTCTAATTCTCTAACTAGTTAAAAGACAAGTGCTGTACAACTCGCACTGCCTTGGGATTTGGGAACATTCAGTTTCAGAAAAGAAATGTCACCTGACGGTTTTCACTGTTAAAGACACAAAAAGTGAACAAGATTTCACTAAACTCAAATATATCTTAACAACAGCAAATGTAATATAATATCCAAAGACATGTCTCTTTTTACGTGTCTTTTAAGTAATTATTGTTTAGCGCCAAAAACCAAATAAAGAAAGAAATAAAACTTGAAAACAGAGTATATCAGAATTAAAAGGTCCTGTAGTAACAGCAGCTACAAGCCTATACCATTTTTGGCAGAAGAAGAACTAATACATTCATTAATCCTTCTTTTTAAGGATCTACTCTCAAAAGTACAAATTATGCCTGGAATTTGGCCTTCACCACAGCTGCTCACATGTCATGAGCATGTTTAAAATATCATTTACCAACAACTTTGACCCAAGGCGGAAGAGCTCACATCAATTGCCTTGTGTACAAAATACTTTAGAAGTGGAGTTAATGTATGAATTCAGTCCTTTCTGGGACCAAGACAAACAAAAACAACATACTCGAGGAAGGTGATCCACCTAAGATTTCCCAAATGCACCTTTTTCTTTATGTTAATAAGCTCCATTTACTGCTAACTTCTTCAAACCTCATGTAAAAAGATGTAATTGATTCCTGGCTATATATATATCCACTTAATAGAAAACTCTAAGAAATTAGTAGTGGCTCTCAATGAAATACTTTAACGATATTTACATAAGTAACAATGCCATAATACAGAGACTGTCCTCATCTGTTTTATGTTAAATTTGCTTTCATAGCATATATTACTGCTCTTTTGTTGCTTAATTTTGATTTTCATCTTTAGAAATCTTTAAGTCCTGAACGTTTTAAAGATTGTTATGGTAAACTTCATTAAAATTTTCAAAAGACACACCAAAAAAGATGACTAGTTAATACAATGGGAAAATTAACCTTTAAAAAAAAAAAAAGAGAGAGAGAGAGAGATAAAAGTTTTGCTCCGTCATCTAGGCTGAAGTACAGAGGAAAGATCACATAGCTCACAGTAGCTTCAAACTCCTGGGCTCAAGGGATCCTCTTGCCTGAGCTTCCTGAGTAGTCCCAGCTTTTTTGTTATATAAACAAGGTCTAGTGATACTGTTCAGGTTCATCTTGAACTCCTGGCTACAAACAATCGTCCCATGTCACTAGGATTACGGTTCTGAGCCACCAACACCTCCAGAAAGTGAATTTGACAATTCAACCAGAAATGTTATTTAAACTTTAGATTATAAATCTCCCTAGGTAAGGCCAGACTTGAGTTGATTCCTCACAATTTTACTTTTATGTTTTCCTAGAAAGCAAACACATGCCAACACAAGCTCTGTTTTCCATACCAGGCCTCATTTTGCTGGAAAAAAAGAAAAGTGGGCAAATTTCCATTAATCTGAAGTACAATTAGCTATCTTCTGGTGCATCTACCATGTTTTCAATAGTGATTTAAAACTAAAACTGTTTACTAGAAGGCAGCTCACTATATCACAAATTAACATCTTTCTGGTAAAGGAATGTTATCTAAAATGAAGAAAAGACAAAAATACTCTGCCAAATGCTGTTCCACAGTGGTGTTTCTATGTGAACATCCCTCTAATCCAAAAATCCTAAATCTGAAGTGCTTAAAAATCTGAAACTTTTTGAGTATAGACATGATGCCATGAGTGGAAAATTCTATGCCTCAACTCGTGACAGAGTGCACAGGTGTTAAGGCTGGCGTGGTGGCTCACACCTGTAATCCTAGCAGTCTGAGAGGCTGGGGTGGGTGGATTGCCTGAGCTCACGAGTTCAAGACCAGCCTGAGCAAAACCAAGACCCCTTCTCTAATAAAAACAAAAAACTAGCTGGGCATTGTCGTGGGTGCCTATATATTCCCAGCTACTCAGGAGGCTTAACTCTTGTTTGAGCCCAAGAATTAGAGGTTGCTGTAACCTATGACACCACAGCACTCTCAGGCTGACAGAGTGAGACTCTGTCTGAACAAAACAAAACAGGTACAAAACATCCCCAAGGGAAAAATAAAATTACTTTCAGGCTATGTGTATAAGGTGTATGTGAAACATAAATGAATCCATGTTAAGGCCTGACTCTCAACTACATGCTAGCTCATTTTGCATATGCAAATATTCCAAGATCTGAAAATATCCAAAATCTGAGAAACTTTTGGTCCCAAGCATTTGGATAGGGAACTCAACCTACATCTGAAAAAGCATAACAGGACAATGATTCTCTCTTGAGTTAATATGCTAGAACCGCCCACTTAAGGGCTGGTACGAAGATTAAAAAGGCGTTTTTATAGCAAGGCATTAAAAACCATGTCAAGCCAAGTAAGCGGACTCACAGAAAAGAATGAAACCTTACTTCCTTCCCCTTCCCACCCTCCTTCAGCCTTTAAAACCCCAAATTGTACAGCATCTGGAAAGAAGGTCTAAAAGTAATTTAGATGAGATGGGTATTGCTGAACCTTTAAAATGCCCCTCCTTCCAAGAATATCAAAAGCAGTTTCAAATTGTCTTTGCCAGCTAGTTGGAGGGCTTCTAAATTCAACCTTCCTAATGTAATCTGTTTCCTCTTTTCTCTAAGAGAGAAAAAACAGCAAAATGACAGATACACAGTTTTCTTAGACAGAGCACCTTTTTTTCTAGCTTACTAACAACAAGCCAAGAACAGAAGCTTTCGTTTCCCTTTCTCAGCTCTCCCCCCAGAGAGCCAGTGCTGCTCAAGGTCCTTAGCTGGTGAGGGAAGGGAAACAGGAAATGTGATATCATGACATGAAGGTAGCTCTCCCTTCATGCACTAAGGCCTACAACCTCCAACATGTGATGCACAGAACACCATCTGTATCTGAAAAACATGCTGTTCCTTGAATCATGTTTCTGTGTGTGCACCTTTGTTGACTATGAAGGTAAAATATTTGCATTTGTTTGCACAAGGTCTGACAATTAAGTTCACTACGTCTCCTTTGAAGTATTCCCTGGGCCATCTGGTGACCACAGTGATATTCAGCAATGAGGTCGATAATGCTTTTTCTCGGACGAGTTCATGGACTTAATTGTCATTCCTTGTACCTGACTTTCCTCCTGGGAAGATCTAGTGTGGAAAAGCTCTGGCAATTGATCTAGTTACTGTCTAAAGTCTGGATCCCCCGTGGAGAGATCCCCCCAAAAGCATATTGTTCTAAAGAACACAGAGATGGTTCACGCCATGTGTGGGAAGAATGTGGTTTACACAGGATAAACGCAAATTTCTTTTCTTTATATTATTTCAGTATTAGAAAAATAAACACCAGTGGTGGTAGTAGAGTATATAAAATGACATCATGTTTTAAGTAATCTGCATGCATAACGAAATAAACCCTGAAAGGAGTAATTAGGCAAATATGAAGTGGATAATTACAAAATTCCAATTATGCAATGTGCTGACATAATATAAAGGCACAGCTTTACTATAAAAACTATATGAAAAGGATGAGGAAAGAGCATTCCAAATAAAGAAGGCAGTACAGGGCAAAGACCCAATTGTCTATGTTATTTTAAATCACATAGTGACGTATGGGACCATCGCTGTCTACTGCAATTGTATTTCAAAACCGGCAAATACACCAGCATGATTTTTAATTAATATGGCATAAAGAAATAGGAAGTGGACCTCTTCTAGCCTAGGGGGGGTTTCCAACTTGTCCTTCAATAACTCATGTATTGCTACTGTACAAAATTTACAGAGTACCCAAGAGTAGAGCGTCTATCTACCTACAGAAGATAGTATTTTAACACAAGTATGACTATAAATGGAAAAATAGGTCATAAAATTTTAAATGTGCTTATTCACATTTAAAGGGACAGTCATTTGGGGGAGGAAACACTCTGGGGACAGTGATAAAGGCTGCCAGGGGGAAGACGAGAGACAGCTCAATAGGAGCAAACACAAGAAGGCCCTTTACCCCCCGACGTCTCTGTGGTGCTCTTCTTATTTAGGATTTTCAGGATATCTTTGGTAATCTTCTTCAGCTGATGCCTTGCCTCCTCCCGCTCTTTGCCAACTCCATAGAGAAGGATTGTGCGCTGGTTACATTCATGACTTGAAGATTCATCCTGGAAAACAGAAAATGCACTCTGAGACCCGTGGCTGCAGGGGTGGGGTTGCATTTCTCAGCCCTGCCAGGCTCTAACCCCAGCCTCTCCACGCTGGCCTGCGGTGGTGGCATCCTGCCCTCCCTTCAACTCATCTCTACCTCCGCTGGCAACACCCTTGTTTTTCCAGTTTGGATCTTGCTAAAGTTAAAAACAAACCAAAAAAAGTGTCAACTGACCTGACATGTAAGTAGAAGCACTTGGTGTGGGTGGACCCTGCAGAGTAAGTCTTGGCTACTGAAAAACTTTTCATTGTTTAAAACTGAACGTGGTCTTAACTGCACATCAACTGTCTAGACGTACTTTTCCTTTAATGGGAGTTTTATTTCTATGTCAGTCTGCTCATATATATATACATCCATACATAGACAGCAGTAACAAATAGTTTATATATAGGAAAACGATCATGCTAAGATCCTCAAACATTTTTAGAAAAAAAGACTCCCTTTACTTCCAAGTGGACTATGTGAGATACAAGCGTGTTTATTTCCAAATTACAAAACAATGAAGCGTGGAGGTCTCATTAGGTGGGAGATAAACAGTTAAAAATAAATGCAAACATGTTCTGACACCGCCAAGCTTCCCTTCCGGACCACCTCGCCACTTCCACCTAAGAGGCACAGCGAATCCAGACATGGCTCTTTTCCACCACACGCAAATTATTTACAGCATAACAAAAACATACACACACCACTGAACACAGTCCTCAGCCAAAGTTAAGTAGTCCTCTCGTATCCCAGGGTTTGGATTTTCCTCTTCTAATTTCTCCCTTGGATCTTACTTACATCTCCCATTTTCGTAGTGAATTTCTAGCTGCAGCCTTCACACTGTATCATCTCCTTACTCTCTGTACAGCTTCCCCCAGGCCAGGTGCTTGCCCTTCCTATCAGTGTCTATCTCACTTCCTGAGGACCTGACATGAGAACAGAACTTCTTGTGGAGGAAACAGACTGCAGCCTGCTCAGGATCAGCAGTGGCTGCAACAAGCAGCAAGAATCTTGGCGGGGAGAGCTCCGGCGTTTGCCCTGGAGTACTTCCCACGTGTACTCTGCACAAAGTGGAATTTTACGGCTGCAACCTCAAATGAGGAGCCTGTTTTCTCTCTGATTCGGTCGTTTTGCTTTCAGTCTCTTTCAGGCACATGTTTGCCACCACTTCCCATGGCACTGGTTCCTTTTATTCAATGCTACCAGAACTAGACATTTTTAACTCCTTCCCATCTATCTTGCCACACCTCTACTCCCAAATAATTCTTAATGTTTCAAGCGTTCAAATGCCTCTTTAAAGAGAGAGAGGAAAAAAAAAAAAAGCTATGAGCAAATTTCCCGCAGAATCTGTTCTTATTTAACATTCTGAGTATCTGAATCTCTCCCAAATTTTCCAAAGATAGACCTAACTGTAGGATAAAAATCAACTTCACAGGAGACTGCACATGTGAATGAGCTGAGCTGGGTGCGGATCTCCAGTTTATACAGTTGTTACAGAGCATTCCCGATGCATTTCTTTTTGTCTGGCAGAATGTGTGCACATAAGTCCTATGAAGGAAAAGCAGAGCATTGAGAAAAGTGTACAAACCTAGGCCGTGCTGGGAAGGTGCCTGGGCCACTGTTTTTAGTTAAGACACATCTCTAATGATCCCGATGTAAATGTCTGTGTGAGGGGTGATCAACAGAATGTAGCAAGATTACTCCAAAACTGCTCATGTGGTATTTAAGGCCAGACAAGATACTAGAAACCCTGAGAAAATGGAAGGATGAGTGTTTCCTTCTATTTTTTTCCCCAGAACACAGATTCTGGGAAGTATACGAGTAGTATCCCCAGACCTAGAGTCCAAATGGGGGTGACAATGGAAGGCAGCCTGGAAAGATCCACGCTCATCACAACCACGCAGGATCACGGGGGGGCCCACACTGCACCATCAATAACAGCCCTAGCTGGGGGCTAAGAGAGCTATGACCACAAGCTAGTTCTGCCACTTGCCAACTCCAAAATCCCAAACAATGAACCTTTCTAACCATCAGATGCTTCCTCTGGAAAACTGGGTAACACATCTTTCTGGTAACGCTTTGGTGAAAATGTTTGAGACTTAACGTATATAAAATGCTAGGACCACACTGGACACAGAGCTCACTCCTGCAAATTCATATTCTAGACTCTCTTGTACACACCCCACACCCTTGGGTACGGCATTGCTCAATATTTCCCCAAGGCCCTAGGGCACTTCCTTCCTTTGCTGTTCCTCTTTCCTCTGCCTAAAATACTCTCGGTGCCTCAATTTCACTTGCTGAAACACGATATACAAATAGCGTCAGGTCTTTCACTCTGTCACTCCAGTTCACTGATGTGCATTCCTAAAAGTAGAATCCACTTATTTTCTAGGTATTTATTTAATGCCTGTCTCCCCCATTAGCCTGCAAATTTTGCAAAAGAGTTCACGTATATTGTATTCATTTTTATATTCTACTTAATAGGCAATGAGTTGGCAATTAATATTTGATTATTAAATTAAGTACAGAGTAAGTGGACTGGTGAACAAACACATAGCACATGGAACAGGGCAGAGATGAAGATAATAAGAATGAGTTTTGTAGGAAACTTACCCTGATATAGGTGAGTGAGGAGAGAGCTGAAGGGAAGAGACAGAAAGAATAAAAATGTTTACAGGGTCAACCAAGTCTTAGCGGTGAAAATGAAGACTAAGAAGCCAAAGCAAGAGGTATCTGAAGGGAGTTAGAAGAGGTTCAGGCATCTGAATCCAGTGAGTAAATGTGCATCTCATAGAAAGTCAAAATGCACCCAATAGATACAATTTATTGGAGGAAAATTAGGAATATGATATTAGCACAGAGAGCTCTTGAATTTACCTATAACCATAAGGAGTTGGTAAGAGAGATTGAAGGAGACTGAAATGTATTATAAATGTACTGTGATTGTGTAACAGTTGGTTTGACGTGGGCACTAATGCAGAAGTGAGAGGTGAGGAATAAGAGCAACACATCAAGTCCTGAAAAGGGATGCAAAGTTTTCATCTTCTCTCTGGGAGAAAAGAGCCAAGGGGGATGAGCTGGTGAAGGGAGTAAATGAGCCATCAAATGATGCACAGTCACTCTAATAAGACAGACTGATAAGGCAAGGTCACAGAAAGGCAAGGGGACATATAAAAATGAGGGCCATTGACAAGGTCAAGTGGAGTTAAGAGGTCATAATGGATATGACTTCTTCGACTTGTTTACTTAAAAAACGACATGTGAACCTTAAAACAGAAGTTTTGCTAAAGTGATGGGGCAGAAAGCAGGAAACAAGGGGTTGAAGTAAGAGTTGATGGGGAAACAGTGAAGGGAGGGAAGTGACCCACGTGTGCCAGGAGCTGGGCATGAAGAAGTAGAGCTTGAGAGGAAAGAGAAAGTTGGTTACAATAACCGACATTGCACTCTTGCTTCTAACCGATGTCTCGGGGACATCTCCACAGAGCAAATCAAGGTTGAAGAGCAGATTAATTGATAAAGGGCCTTTGCACAGATTAATATACATAAAAAAAGGAAAGCCCTTTAGACCTGAACAAAGAAAATAAGGGAAAATCAGTGAAAATAAAGAGAAATTTGGGGATGAGAAACTCGAAGAAGCTCAAATGGGTTCATTGAGCTTGATATGCTCAGGGAGATAGGCCAAGAAGCAACGTCATGAGTTCAAAGGGTGGGGGATCAGAAAAGCAAAAACAGAATGAAGTGAGCTAGAAGAGAATGACTGGTGAACCTCTACAAGGGCTAGAAAGACGTTATTTATTTCTTATACTTAAAAGTTTCAGGAAAATTGTGATAGCTATTACTGCACCAGGCTTCAAAGTGAACAGGTAGAGACAAAGCTATACTATTTTCCATAAAACTGTAAGGTTTGTTTATATCAATTTTTTTTGCACAAGCCGAAAATGTACATGTCTTTAAATAGCAATTTACACAAAATCAGAATAAAGTCAACCCAAGAAAATGTGCCAAGTATTTCCAAAAGGATCAATGGTTTCTACTCTTCTAAGTTGGTGTTAATTTTGAAAGTAAGAATCTGAAATGAGCACCCAGATATTACTCTACTGGTTATTCCTGAAGGATATGTTTATTGGGTAGAGAAAAATGCCAGCTGAGAATCTATTATAGGAGAAGGCAAGCATCTCCTCTACGCTAGCTCACCTGCTGGCCTTGGGCTAAATCAGCCATCTTTTCTGTAAACGGAGTTTTGAAAGCCTCATGCTCCAAATCAATTACTTTCTTCCTTCGGATGTTATCTCATATTCACAAAAATTTAATTGATGAAGAAACTAGGAGGATGTATGCCCCCAACGCTGGTGGACTTAGTGTACTACAGGAATTAAAATAGATTTCTTGAGACAAATGCCCTAAGAAAGGAGAAAGGAAGTTAATTATAGATCTGCTTTAAATCATCCTTATTTGTTTAAACTAAGTGATTAGAAATGCTGCTAAAATGCGTGTTGACAAAAATGTGATGAGTGGTGAGATAAGATTGGTATGTTCTCCCATCAACTTCTTCATTTTTTTCTGATATTTAAACAATGTTCTAATAGTCATAGAATTTTACAATTACTAATATTCCCAAGGAGAAATAAAATCTCATTCTGAACGTGCTTCCTTTCTTCCATAACAAAGACAAAGCAGACGTACTTTTCTTTCTGAGAAAGCAAAATATACCATTTCATACTTCCAATGGTCTGTAGTTTAGTATGCTTAATGCAAACCCAGTATACATCATGAAGTAATATCCTACCTCATCTCTAAAAACCAGTCTCTTAAAAGAACATATTTAGTTCATTAAAAATATTATTTATTAAAATGCAAAACTTTTCTTTTGGTGGAATCTCTCACTATACCAAACCATTGTGTTTAAAATAAAATAACTTCCAATAAATGTTCTAATAGGAATAAGACTTGGGCTGGAGAGGAAGAATGACCATGCCCATGGATGAAGAAATTAAAACAAGGAAATGAGCATCTTTTTCTCATTAATAACTGTAACTGAACTAAAGTACCTTTTCTATAAATTAAGAAAATAGGAGACTGCCCAGGTACAGTGGTTTATGCCTGTAATCCTGGCATTCTGGGAGGCCAAAGCAAGCAGATTGCTTGAGGTCAGGAGTTAAAGACCAGCATGAGCAAGAATGAGTCCCCATCTCTACTAAATAAAGAAAAATGAGCCTGGTATTGTGGTGGGCACCTGTAGTCCCAGCTACTTGGGAAACTGAAATGGAAGAATCACTTGGGCCCAAGAGGTTGAGGTTGCTGTGGGTATCCCAGGGCAATAGGATGAGATTCTATCACACAAAAAAGAAAAGAGCAGAAAAACATAACTGGATTTGTAAGGGAAGGCTTTGTTCTACAGTAACTTATAGTTCACAGTATGACTGATGAGGGTTTAACTACATATATTCTAGTCCTTTTCTCTCAAGTAAAATACTGATGACTAGACTGTCACATAATTTAATCACAAGAGAGACCATTCTCTTTCGCTAAATACTCCGATGTCCAAGAATCTGTTGTATATCTAACCTAAATTTCTATACTCTGATGGATAAAGTCAACCTAATTCACATAACTCTGCACTACTTCAAACACATGCCCTAAATCAAAGTACTCATTAATGTCAAAATGACAATGTTTAGAGCCATAAACCATTAGAACTAAAAAAACTAAGAGCTAGACACATATCCTGATTACAGCATCTCTACCCTCCAGCCCAAAACTAGTTCTACAAGAACCCAGAGTTTAGAGTAATCCCATTGGAAGCAAATATTCTCAGATGGGTAGACGACTTTTAGAAGATTTGGTGAGATAAATAAACCAACTGAACCACTGAAAAGTAAAAATTCTATTCCTTTTTCTTAGAATCTCAATCTTAGTAAAAACACAAATCAATCAAATTCAGTTCTGTTCTAAATAGTAACATAATTATAAGCAGTATTGCTGATGTTATTTATTAATAAGAGGTTAAAGAATATCATTTAATGTGCTTTTATTCATATGATAATAAACTTTCATAAGCTGAGACACTTTTCACTAAAAGATGTTAATGATTTTTAAGGGTCAAGTGATCTAACTAGCAGTGATCCTCCAATTTAAAAAAAAAATGTTATCTGAGTTGGTTTGCAAAGAAGTGTGTGGTTGTAAGTTAAAATCATAGAAAAGACAATTAAAATAAACTCTCCATTTAACTTCACTCCTCTGATCCTCAGGTTCCATCATCCAAAGAATAGGGTATAGTATTTACTACAGAGAATAGTTGGGATAATAAAATGAGTTAATTCATGACAGTAAGAAATTACATAATGCCAATTATTATTCTGAAGTGTACACAGCATAACAGTTCTTTTAGAAGTATAATTGTGAGTCTCCAACAAGAAAAGTCAATTAAGATTTGTTTACAAACATTTAATTTAAAAATAAAAATAACTTAGTACAAACTTTTCTAAGACTTTAATATCAAACTAGTCCCTCTAAATGATCAACTGGTCAGGATATGTAACTGACAATTACAATGAGATGACTGAAATTCGCAGCTTGATTTCAAATTCTTAATGGCAAGAAAATGACTATATCCATTTAAAATCAGTGGTCCTCAAATTACAATTTGCTGAGCTCCACAGGGAAGGTTCCTTACCACTCAGGTGAAGGGTTAGAGCACCTCTGAGTTTCTCATACACTAAGCTCATACCCAAGAACGTACATCTCTAACCAGTTCCCAGGTGATGCTGAGATGCTGCTTTGTGTTTTACCAGCAACTATAGAAGATAGTTAACATTTAAAGATGTAGAAATACCCCAAACTCAGAATAACCAAACCCTGGGTTCATAGAAAAGGCATCTATCCAAAGGAGTCTACTGTTAAGAGGACAACATTACATTTCAAAGTATCAGTGGGCATGGGAGAGGGGTGCACAGGTGAGCACAGCAAAGGAGAATGAAGCAGCAAAATCTTTTCCTGTTCAATTCCCCCATACCATAGCCTTTGCCTTTTTGATTCAAAAGTTAAAGACCTGAACATAATGGTGATACAAGGATGTCATAGTGCAATGGTGTATTTTCCTAAAACTCAAAGGCAGGGAAAAAGAAAGACAAAAAATGTGATTGTTTTTAAATTCTATTTAAGAAAAGCATGAAGGACGCTTTATATAATAAGCCGGCAATGGATGTAACCCTGCTGGTTTTCTAATGTAATTCTGAAATCTGATAATTTATAATGGGAGGAAACTGTTTCACCTACAAAGGAGTTAATCAAACACAGATTTAAAATTATGACATTATTAACCGGGGGCGGGGGGGGGACACAAAGGGTAAGAGACTAAACATCCCCAAGCAGCACACATTTTGAGTTAATGTAATTATGCCTTAGAAGGAAATAAATCATCCAATGGTCAGCGCATTTCTTTTCAGGTACATAACCATCAAAAAACCAAGCTTGCAGCTTTCAGAAAACAGACTTTGAAGGCTTGATCTCAACTGGGATTTATCATTTGCATGGAAAATAATTTTAAAAAACTGCAAGTTATAAATCATCAACTCTATGGCAGGTTTCGGTGAAAAGCTGAGAGATTTTAAATGGATTTTTAAAAGATGACTTCTCAGCCACTTTTGCCCCACATTTCCCAGGAAATAAAAGCAGAAGTCTGAAAAGCAGGCAAATAGAAATTCAGTGTCTGCACAGCCTTGAGTCCGCAGTGTTTGAAGGTAATCGCTGCTTGTGAAGACCTCTTCTTCCTCTCTCTTCCTCTATTTCTCTCTAGAGCACTGAAGACTTTACTGATGAAGACTCGGCAAATTATCTGTCACCAAGAGGTGTGACAACTAGACTTAGACAATAAAAAGGAAAAAAACAGATGCAGGTTGCATTAACTACCACTTACTGGATATCTTCAAATCCTTCAGAATCAACAGAGCAACCAGGTAATGTTAATAGAGAAGTATTTGACAAGTCTATGTATTTATGGAATGATACCTGTCTACATTTTTCCCCAACTTTTCTTAAAATTGAATGCCTTACATAACAGTATCAATGCATGCGTGTACTTGAAATAAAAATTAAAATGCCAGAGACAATCATTAAGTTCTTTACCAAGAAAAATTATACAAAGAATGGAAATAAAATACAAATGGCCTTACTTATTTTACTGTGAGTATAAAATAGGATTTAAATATAGATAGAGGGAGCTGAAATTCTTGATGTCAGGAATACTTGTTATATCACTTATGTAAAATGAGAATTCATAAAGCAGAATTTCTAAAACAATTAGGGGATGAATACACAGATACAACAGCAAGATGGTTAAAATCAGTGATGTTATATAATATTGGGTTTTGTTTAATTTTTCCTTTTAAATAGCTAACCAGGAGGGAAGGCGTGGAAAATTGAAGCCATCCTGTAACAACATGATTCTTAACTGTTTTATTTAGAAGAATTCGGGATAGAAAAAAATAATTCCATTGACATGTGGGAGAATTTGTCATTTTTAAATCTTTTGCATGGAAATCATTTCTTTTTAATTTAGATATTTATGCTTTAAATGCTACTGTGTTTGATTATCAGAAATAATATTTTAAGTAGAACAAGCTTCATTTGACTTCAGTAGAATAAAAAGATAACAAATATCATCTTGAATTTCAAGACTTTGATACCAGACAGCATATTCAAGTTAATTATTACTCCACTTTAAAGCTGCCTATTATAAGAAATGTCATTTTGCCAAGAATGTGGTTTTGATATTTTATTATAACTACCATTATACACTCCAATAAATCTAAAAAGTATGTTTTGACTGTTGTAAGGAATGCCAACTGATAACCATATATGCATAGAACATATCCTTATAGTATTACTACTTTACAATTTTTACTTAATGATATTCTAGGTAAATGTATGTAGTATTTTTTTTTAATTTAAAGAGGAGTCCTTTTATTGAAGAGCCGACCAGCGACTGCCTCAGTCTCACAACGTGGGGTTTCTGAGAGCAGCCCCAAGTTGTCTGTGTCTCTTTTTTTTTTTTATTGAGCAATAGTAATAATAATGATGCAAAAAAAAGTAACATTCACATTGTCAAATAAGAGTATGTCTATTATACAATGTTTCGACTCTGAGGTTCAGTATGGAGTCATCAGTTAACTTCTTATTATTTTTTTTCCAAAGTCTCAAAAAATAGACAATCTTTATAAATAAAAATAAAAGATAATTTTAATGTATGTAGTAATTTTAAATACATGGAACAAGTTGGAAATAAGATATATATACGGTAAAATATCTGAAGCTAAATCAGGAGTCTAAATGAGGCCAATTTTTGAATGGATGACTTAGTAACATAGAGGCTAGAATACCTTTTAATTACAAAAAAAATAATTTTGGTTTTTTTTTTAAAATCTGATTCAGCATTTATTTAATAATTTTCCAAAGGGCGAGTCACACCAATTTCTTTACCTTTTTTAAATTAAAAATTGTAGAGGGTTATTATCAGTCCCTTCTCTCTCAAATACTTTGAGGGCACTAGAATAAAGGAAGCTTAGGAATAAGGATGGTGTAAGAAAAATCACTGCGAATAGAAACTAACAAAGACAGAAGGCATGGAAACGAGGCCAGAAGAGAGTGAAGTACTCTTTTCTGTATTTCTGTTACAAATATTCTGCCCAAATACTCCTGTACTAGCTTTTTATATGTAAGTGGGCTTTGACTAAGATGAAAAGAATACAAAGTATCCACAACCACATAATATACTTCAGACAGTTTCACAGGGACAAAATGTTTGTAGAGGTGCAGTATTTTGAGATTCAGTTTTCTGTGCCTCTAACTGCTGAAATAGAGATCAGATACCTCAATTTTTAGAGGAGGCTGTGTCTAAAAAACTTAAACACAGAGATGATAAAATAAACAACCTCAGACTGAAAATAACCGCCCTCCCTCCCTCCCTCCCTCTTCTAGGCAGCAGAGAAGAAATGCAGGCCATCAACAACCTCACCTCGGAGCCTGGGAACAGCAGTCTGTGCACCAGAGACCACAAAATCACCCAGGTGCTCTTCCCACTGCTCTACACTGTTCTGTTTTTTGTTGGACTCATCACAAACAGCCTGGCCATGAGGATTTTCTTTCAAATCCGCAGTAAATCAAACTTTATTATTTTCCTTAAGAACACAGTCATTTCTGACCTTCTCATGATCCTGACTTTTCCGTTCAAAATTCTTAGTGATGCCAAACTGGGAACGGGACCACTGAGAACCTTTGTGTGCCAAGTCACCTCCGTCATCTTTTACTTCACAATGTACATCAGCATTTCGTTCCTTGGACTGATAACAATTGATCGCTACCAGAAGACCACGAGGCCATTTCAGACAGCCAATCCCAGCAATCTCTTGGGGGCTAAGATTCTCTCCGTGCTCATCTGGGCCTTCATGTTCTTCATCTCTCTGCCTAACATGATTCTGACCAACAGGAGGCCAAGAGACAAGAATGTGAATAAATGCTCTTTCCTGAAATCAGAGTTTGGTCTGGTCTGGCATGAAATAGTGAATTACATCTGTCAAGTCATTTTCTGGATTAATTTTTTAATTGTCATTGTATGTTACACCCTCATTACAAAAGAACTATACAGGTCATATATAAGAACAAGGGGGGCGGGCAAAGTCCCCCGGAAAAAGGTGAATGTCAAAGTGTTCATTATCATTGCTGTATTCTTTATTTGTTTTGTGCCTTTCCATTTTGCCCGAATTCCTTACACCCTCAGCCAAACTCGGGATGTCTTTGACTGTGCTGCTGAGAATACTCTGTTCTACGTGAAGGAGAGCACTTTGTGGCTAACGTCCTTGAACGCGTGCCTGGACCCATTCATCTATTTTTTCCTTTGCAAATCCTTCAGAAATTCCTTGATAAGTATGCTGAAGTGTCCCAATTCTGCAACATCGTCTCAGGAAAACAGGAAAAAAGGACAGAACAGTGATGACCCCCGGGAAGAAACTCCAATGTAAACAAATTAATGGAGTAAATATTTCAATCCATCGGGGATCATAATTCCTTAAGTGAAAGCGCTATGTAAGTAAGAATTAACACTGACTAAACAATAATGAAGGGAATGACATTGACTCTTGAAAAAGTAATAGAAAACTACAAAAAGTTTTATTGACTTTTCCAGTAATGAGAGGTATCTTTAAATGTAGAAAATTAACCTAACCCATAGAAGCAGAACACACTGCATCCAACTGCCATTCTGCACACAAAACTACACAAAATCCATGATGTGTAGTTTTGCCAAAATGGGTAATCGTGTAATAATATCTACCTGCAATTTTTAAAATATACCATTGGCCATAATTTTTTCATAAACAATTAAGAAAGAATAAGCAACCTGATATAATCATCTTATCAAAAGTGATACCTAAGATGTATATGTGTGTATGTATATACCCTGGTCCCTACTGTGATACTTTTTATAAAAACTGAAGTGGTATATGCAAAGAATAATAAATACTAACTTTTCATTATTAGTCGAAACCTAAGGGATTTAAACTGAGATGATACTTGATTAGACTGAATTTTTTTAAATGGTCATTAAGGAGACAGAGATTTAAAGAATACCTTTTCCATAAAAAGCAAAAATATCAAAAGAAGTCATGCAAAGAGAGTTACTTTTATAATATTCTAATACTAGACAAAAAATATAAGTATTTCCTTCCTGCCAGAGCAACTGGTTTAACTAATATTTTGACATCAATGGATTTAATAGCATCATCGGTGCCTTTATTAACTAGCTTCTAGAAAGTACCTGCTATGTGGGTTAGTGGACATTTTCCCTTGGTGAGAAAAATTAAATAATAATGATGATGTTGCACAGCCTAACTACTAAGTGATTTGACTATCTGTTATACTATGTGTATAAAAAAATTTACATTAAACTGTGTGTCACACTTTGTTGTTATTTCTTTGTTCAGAAATAGATAGCATGATTCACCGTCCCATATACAACCACATCAAACCCACTGAATAATCACTACCAACACTTATTAAATGCTATTGTGCAAAATCTCATCTGAAGGTAACATCTTATCTCAGTAAGACCACATGCAAATGATAAATAAGCCAATAATAGAAATCCTTTTATACATACATGTTAGATACATTATAACATGGAGTGTGGTTCCATGCAAGCCACATTCGATATTTTTAATATAAACAAAATATGTATCACATGTAGAAGTTCATGTCACTTTTCTCAATTATGCATGATTCTCAAAGGTGATTTTCAAACAGAAGGAGGCCCAAATGCCAACAAGCCAATGCCGGCAGAAATAAAAAGTAAAGGTTGTAGTAAGTATAAAGAAGTTCACTGAACAACAGTGATAATCAGTTTTAACCTGACCCTCTCTAGGGATGTTCAACCTTTTTTCTTTTCTGCCACACATTCAAAGAATAAAGTTGTCTTGGGCCACAGATTAAGTACAAAAAACTAACATAAGCTGATCAGAAAAGAAAAAAAAACAAGGTCTGTGCATACTTTTCATGATGTCCAACACCACGAATAAGTGAAAAGTCCTCGTAAAATGAGGAGGGGGCCCACAGGCTGCAAAGTGGACACTCCTGCTTTACAGCTTTTAAGAGCTGAACACATTTAACTCCCCAAAAGGTATGTATTGTCACTCTTGTCACATTGCCTTTTCTGGCACTGCTACAAGCAAACACTGAATGTCAGGAAAGATACACACAGAGACTATTCTATAAGCATACAGGTTATTTGAGCTAGATGATAATCTAGAAATTTACCAATCCAACCTTTTTATTTTGCATATGACAAAACAAAGATCCAACCTTCACCCATCAAATCAGGAGTAGAGAATGGCTTGAAATTAATCCCATCAAAGTGTCAGGACTGCAGGGTAGACAAAGACTATCCGACTATCCACCATCTCTCTGAGATGACAGTTTCCACAAGAGGGGGGAAAAACACAAGTGCTCATGCTGTTATGATATTTTTATGAAGGTAACTGCGAAGCATTTGGAATTACCTATATTTTATAGGTATGTATATATAACCAGAAAATTTTACATTAAACTCTAAATCACCCTTGGGTGGAATTTCTTTATTCAAAAATATCAGACATCACATATACTCTTACATCAAATTGAACCCATTCAAGATAGTCTTAGAGATCAGTATTTATGAGTGCTCATGATACACAGAAAATGCCACTATCCTCCGGCTTTAGGTATTTAATATGTATAACCTCACATTTCACACTTTTTTTTTTAAAGTGAAGACAAATTCTGCAGAATCTGGTAAGGAAGCAAAACATTCAGAAGACGAGGCGACTAGTCTTGTCCATGCCTCGGCGGTTCACAAGTCCCAAGGAGGCCAGTTACTGGCGGTTTCTCTCCATGGTTTCTTACGGAAAACGTCTACAGCTAGCATTGGCAAGCTGCAGCACGCAAGCCAAATCTCAGCCCACTGCCTGACTGTATAGTTTGTGATCTAAGAATGCTTTTTAAAAAATATTCTGAATGCTGAATTGCTGCAGATACATAAGATTTTTACATATTTATGAGAGTAGAAAATGGCTACCAGAGTCTGGGAAAGGTTGGGGGGAGGAGGGGGAAAAAGGAGATGGTTAATGGGTACAGAATTAATAAGGTCTAGTGTTCAGTAGCATGAAAGAGTGACCAGAGTTAATAATTTAATGTATATTTCAAAATAATAAAGAGCAGAATTGGAGTATTTCTCACACAAAGAGATGATAAATGCTAGACGTGATGGATACCCCAATTACTCTGATATAGTCATTATTCTATGAGAATATTGCACATGCCCTCTTTCAAAAGAATACAACTTCATCACATAGGAGATTTATGGGAAATTCAAACTTTAGTGTTTCTAAGTAAGGTTTTATTGAAACACAGTTATGCCCATTTGGTTTTTAAATCTCTGGCTGCTTTTGTGCAATAACAATAGATCAGAGTCTTCGAGGCCCATAAAACGTACGAACTTCCCACTGGAAGGTTGCCTGCTCCTAGATCAATGCTTACAAAACAAAGACTCCTTCCTGCACACACGCAGGTGTTTCAGCAGCTTTGCACTGCTATGCTTGTAGCTCTGTCTGATCGCTGTGGGTCAGCAATGCCCCAGATGGGACTGCAATTCTGTCACTAGAAATTAAAATTTGGTGGCTTGGGACCCATCGCTCACTGGTTAGGGTACCGGCCACATCCCTTAGAGGTAGTAGGTTCGAATCCAGCATGGGCCTGCTAAACAGTGATGACAACAACAACAAAAATAGCCAGGCGTTGGGGCAGGTGCCTGTAGTCCCAGATACTTGGGAGGCTGAGGCAAGAGAATCACTTAAACCTAAGAGTTTGAGGTTGCTGTGAGCTGTGATGCCACAGCACTCTACCAAGGGCAACATAAAAGACTCATAAAGATTCTTTTTCCTCAGGAAAAAAAAA